CGCTTTGCAATTGTTATAATCGATATGAAGACCACATGGCCGAGTTTTATTGGTTTTAGAGTACAGTTGGCGCACATATTATAATACAAAAATCAGATGCTTTTGAATCTATTAATTAAGCTGTTTTTATTAACGGATTTGGTGGATTTAATTAGATAACCGCAAGGTAGTTTTACAGTGGTTTAAGAGTTGGCGTACGTTTCGTAATACAAAAATCATTTAATATTTGTTTATATCTTAATATTCGAGCATTTCTATTAGCGGATTAGGCGAAATTTTGTGGATTTTCTGTTTGTAACCTTCTGGAGTAACTAATTTTTTTTTTTTAGGTTTCAGATTACAATTTTTTTTTTCATACCCTTCCGTACTTTTTAGGACTCTTGACCAGTTAGTTTTAATAAAAATTTCAGATTGCATGTAAAACTTTTTTTTTATATATATGAAAGAAATTTATCTCTTTAATGTGTGTTGAACTCGCAGTTTTAACTAATTACCTAAAACATAAGTACCTCTATCATGATATATGCGCAACAAATTTCCAACAGCGTTTTTATGTTTTTAAAAATTTTTAAAAACGTTTTTAAAAATTCTCTCCGTTTGCTTTCTTATAGTATATTATATCTTTATTTTTATGTAATGCGTATAACATCTATATGCATTTAAACTTGTTTTTCTTTGTTTTCTAGAAAACTGGAAAAGATTTTTAAAAAAAAATGTGTAAGCAAAAGGTTTTGAACCGAAGCGAAGCACTTCAATCGCTTTGGAACGCTATATCATCTTTTTACACTATTTAATAAACAGAAAACTTATTAAACTTTAAAAAACAACATTTAATGCTTTAAAATAAAGAGATATTGTCGCAATGAAATTATTAAGTAAAAATAAATCGGTAGAATTTGATGTCATCTACTTTATAATTATACTGATTGATAATTAAAGAACTTAAAGTTTACATATTTAGATATTTGAATAGACTTTCGTTCACATTGATAAAATACAAATCATAACGGATTGTGGATTTGAAAAAAAAGGTTGATAAACTACCATCTATAATTATTGGAAAGGTCATATTTTTTAATATCAAAGATATCAAAGTTTGGCGAAAAAGTGAAAACAATGTCTACCTGAATTATATGTTATCTTCCTATTTATTAGGTTTACCAATAAAACTTCCCTGATTAGTTTATAATTTATTCAAAGCCCTGATTAGCTTTTAATTTATTTGCCTATTAATCACCCTTAACAACAATAACCGCCATAAATATATTCTTAGCATTCTACTTAACGACTTATCTAATTAGTCTATTTTGTCACTAAGTATAAAAAAATTTACTGAATATCAATTTATTTATCTATTTAATTTAATATATATAATATATAATTTAATATATATAATTTAATCTAATTAATATAATTGAAATACTACTAATCAATTTACTGATATTTTTTCTATAACATTGTTTAAAATGGTCATATTCTGAAAGGTAAAGAAATTTATTGAAAAGAAAGTTGCACAAAAGAAAAAAAAAACTAAATAAAAGTTATTCGTTTCAAAAAACGTTTTACGAAGAGTTTTTCCAAACAATTTTATTTTTAATTGGGTTTTTTTTGAATTACGTCATAAGCATTTTGAAGGCGTTTTGAAAAACAGTTGCTGCATATATTTATAGTAAAAAAGTTAATGTAGCAAAATAAACTTTTAATTGTCAAAAGAAAGTTTTAAAGTTTTATCTAGCTACAGGTTTTGTTTTTTTTTGCCTCCACAGCAGCATCTTATGAAGTAGCAGGGCTGTCTTGTTAAGTTTTTTCTTTATTAAGTTTCAGACAACTTTTTTTTCAGACCATCCGCAGCTTATTAGGACTAATTACATTCGCACATTAATAACATAAGTGTCTCAATTATCATAGATACGCAACATATTTTTTCTCCTGGTGATGTTTTTTTTTTTTTTTAATGTTTTATGAAGTTTTAGCATTCTTAAAATCTTTTCTTTTGTGAGTGCATAACATCGTTACGTTACATATGTTTGTATATAATCTTTATAAAACTTCGAAAGTATTTTGTATTTTAAAATAATTAAAAAAATTAAAAAAAACAACCGCCTTTGGTAGGAGTCGAACCTCTAGTTCCTTGTTCAGAAGTTCGCCGCCCTATCCACTCAAGCTACGCCGGAATATCATCAAGTGTAGATTTTATAAAAATGTTGTAATTTTTTTGAGGAAAAAAATGTTAGATCAAAATTAAGGAGAGGTTGACGCAATGTAGTTTTCAAGTAAAAATCCAACTGTAAAACGTGATAAATGTTTCAGTATGTTTTAACATATGCTTTAACATTACTTAGTTTAAAGTTTACGTACGTTAGATATTCGTTCACGTATTCTTATAGTGCTGCGACTCTTTCTTGCCAATACCTCGGTTGCAATGGCTGCCAAGGGTTTCGTGTCAAATACGCTCCAAGGGACACTACTACTATTAAGTTTGGCAATATTATATAGAAGATTATTCTATGCAACGGTTTATATAATTATTTATCGGAACAGATCCAATTCAAAAGCTAATAAACATTTACAAAAAATCAATAAAAATGAATTCATTTAAAGCGTTTTGATTCCAGCGGTTCTCTACGACCTCATGGACTTCTTCGAGTTTCCGCATTTTTTATTCCTAATTTTTATTGTTATATTTATTGTCATATTTCTATTGTTAACGAAATCTTTATTGTAAATATTATTTATTTCTTTTTTTTATGTCTTACGTTTTATTCACAAGTTATAATAGAAATTGTAGTAATGATTGTAATAAAGAATAAAAAAAAAAAAAAATTATTGGACTTTAGTCGTCTTCTAATTTTTGCAATTATTCATAAACTTATCATTCAAGATTAAATACTGCGATGAAAGTAACTGTTTCATTAAGCATCTTCTATAAGCTACGAAAATGTTATTGATTTTTTAAAAATATTCCTGACGTTGGCTGCTTTATATTGCTAATGCTAAAAAACAACTCTTTGAAATATTTACTTTTTAAATAATTTAAAATGATGCCTTTAAATCTTATTATTGATTTTTTAACAAGAAGTTTTTCTTAAGTAAAATGGCGAAATTTAGATTTAAAAAAACTTATTTTAACTTACAATTAATATTCCTTTGAAACATAATAACATTACACTTACCTGAAATATTTTTACATCTTGCAGTATTATTATGCTATATTTTTTTCATGTCAAACTATCCTATTAAGATCTTATGAAATTTGAATAAGGATAAGGGAACCCAGAGCAAGATGACTAACGTTTTAAAAAGTCTTAGTTTTCGCAAAGTGTTTTTTAAATCGAACTAAAAAACCTATAGATCTGGTCAAGATATTGTTACCATAACAAATGTTAACTTTAATAACTACCATGCAGTGTTGTTAGTTCTATGCCTTGGTCTTGATTATTTTGACCTAGGCCTTCAAAAAAAAAAAAACAAACATAAAATTAAATAATTAAAGGTTTTCATTCTTTATTATATGTATTTTTGTTTTCGGCGCTCATATATATCTACAGGTATGTTTTCTTAGCATAAAGCTTCGTAGCATAAACTTGGTTTATTTTTACATGTCACATTACATGTTTATTTTATTGTTACATGTCACATTACATGTTTATTGTTTCATGTCACATTACATGTTTATTTTATTGTCACAGCAATTGTTAGCTATAGTTGTTAATAATTGGCCTTAACGTTAGGGTAAAATTTATCTTCGGTCTTGAAAATGTTTTCGTAGGCCTTTATCTTTTAACTTTTGGCCTAGTTAACAACTCTACTACCAAGCACTTTTTCTAAAGTATTGCAAAATAAACACGCGTCGCAAAAAGCATCCCAAAGAAGGTTACGTAATTACAATAACACCCATCTGCAATAACGGGGTTCGTAACCAAATATTTATACAAAATTCCCTGAATTATTTTGAAAACCCAGATGAATTTCACTGACCATTTTCAACAATGGTTGTTCAGAATATTTAAAACTATTACCTACTGTAATCGAAATGCTAAAAAATGCTTGAATGACAAAACTTAGCTATTAGTTAAGTTGGATATTAGTATGCATCTTATTATACAAGTTAGTATGGATCTTATTTAAGGATGACTAAGAATGTTTCAGAAAAAATAGATTAGTAGGACCGACAAAATCACACTAGCTTAATTGTAAAATGAGTAACTTCTCAATCAGAATTCCCTTACTTTTGCATAAATATCTAAAGAAAAAAAAATTCCTTGACTTTAGCCAAAATTAACCAATTTTCCAGGTAATAATCCTAACCGTATATTTTTTAAGGAAAAAAAAACTTATAAAAATCAACGTTACTGATGTTTAAACAAAAAACTGTTTTAAAATACAAACTACAAAATAAGCGGCTTCGTTTTCATCCGTTTTTTTATCGCGCCCCATTTATCTAAATCTATTTTTAGTAAATAAAGTTTATGCTATATATAAACCGTAAAATAACATTGTGACACTTACCTTGACAACGTTTTTGTTTCAGTTTGACATAAAGTTTGGCTAAACGAACTATTCCTTGATTGCTCAATTCATCTACTTTTTTAATGCCTATAGGCGTTAAATAAAGTATCCGTATACTAACGCATGCGCAAATATTACATTTTATCTACTTATTTAACGGAAAAACAGGCAATTTTGGGCGAAACGACATCAAAAATCCGCCGAGAAGTGGCCGTAAACAGCAACAGCGAATACATAATGGATTGTTATTACCAATGATTTTCTTAAAAAAGTCATTAATAAAAATGTTACGAACTTATTACCCAACACAATATATATATATATATATATATATATATATATATATATATATATATATATATACGCACAAAAAAAAAATTCCAAAATAAAACTGCTGAGAAAACGCCAATACTATTTGAGTTTTGTTGCGCTTCATTATTTCAGTATAATTTTCAAAATATTATAATCTTCAAGACAATAATTCATAAGAATAAAATGAAAGTATATTTTTCATTAAAAACTTCTTTACGTCCAAGTTAAGGGGTGAAGCAGAACCACGTCTCCGACATTACCGTCACAACCACGAAGAGTACCTAATAGTAAAAAACAAAGTAGGAATAGTCGCCATATATACCTTTTCGTTTCAATGTTTCAGGTGAACGAGAACGACTTCTTGACCGAGAACGAGACCTATATAAAAATTCTATTACTAAAGAAGTTGTTAAAGTAAAAACCCCACTAATTTGCATTAAACAACCATATTACTTTGCATTAAGTTTTTTCGGAACAGCTTTAAGGTTCAGATTAAAGCTGTTCACAAAACAACCTAAACAAAAATTTGCAATAATTTCAAAAAAGTATTGAAATTATCCTCATTTAGGGACAAATTGATTCAAACTTTTTAGGCAACTGCAGTTAGGTAATTGCATAAATGGGAAAGAAGTAACAACTAATTTTAGACTGTTACATAAATAGTAACCAAAAATTCACACAAAATAAAGTAGGTAAAAATTTACTAATTATTTTAACCGTGTTTTAAACGGCTAGAATGTTTCACAAACAAAATAATACTAAATAAAATAAAAAATTCATGCAACGTTAAAAATAACAAAAATTTATAAGGTTAATTAAATTAATACAAAATGTAAAACAAAATAGTAAATTATAATGCCTAATATGTATGTCATTAGACATTTAAGCAAAAGTATAGAGGAACTTATTATTTCAAACAACATTACATGTATATACTCATATCGGGTGGACACGGAAAAATCTGGTCAACTTTAAACTGAGATTTCTTTAAAAACCACAAATGTTTTTTTATTTCTTTTCTTTTTTTAATTAAATGTTGATTTCTTAGATGTCTTGATAAACTTTTGTTTACAAATCAATGATTTGCAAAATGTTTGCAAATACTAATTGAGGTACGTAAAAACGCGGTGACTTCATATCGCTTAATTGCTAAACGTACAATTGTCCTAAAATCTACAGTTATAGATATTATAAATAAGTTTAAAACTACTATTTTTTTAATTAAAAGCTACTTTAGTTGTGTTGATAAATTTTTGTTTACAAATCAATGAATTGCAAAAAGTTTTAGAAACAAATCAAGGTGCGTAAAAACATTGTGAATTTTTTTTGCAAAAACCTATCGACTTCATATAACTTAATTGCTAAACGTACTAATTTCCCAAAATCTACAGTCAGTGATATTATAAATAAGTTAAAGAATACTCAAAGCTTCGAAAGAAAATCTGGAAGTATAAATAAATCCAAAAAGGTAAGGTCGATTCTCAGTTCAATAGCAAGAAATCCGAACCAGTCACAGCAAGATCTAGCTAGAAAATTCAAGACTTCGCGTTCTTATATAAAAAAAAAGTACTTAAAAATGCTGTAATTAAAGCATTTCATATTACCTAAGTGAACCTTAAATGGTGAAATTAAAGCAATTCAAAGCGCAAAGAAGTTGGTTAAAATAATGGCGGATAAAAGTATGCGAATAATTTAAGACAATGAAACATTGCAAGGCGGATTTTTCACAACTTCCTGGTCATTAATTTTACTTTGAGAACAAAGATAAACCTGTCGATGATCAATTTAAATATATACAACGAAAAAAATTTGCATTCAAGTTTCTTGTGTTGCAAGCAATTGGTAGCTGTGGTATGCAGTGCTCTTGTTTTATCACTAAGAAGACCTTGACTACCAATCTCTACATCAAAGAATGCCTCCAAAAAATACTTTTGCCATTTATTAAAAAACACAAATACTGATGTGTCTTTGGCCATATTTCGCTGATTCCCACTTTTCTAAATTTCTACCGTGGTGCAAGATAATAATGCGAAAATTGTTCCAAAAGATGCAAATCCTCCAAATCATTCTGAAGAACAAAACCTTGAAGATTTTTGGGCAATAGTTAAAGGAATTCTTCATAAGACAGGTAACAAAAAATAAAAATGACTTCCAAAAAAAAGTGAATTAATGCCACCAATAAGGCGAAAAATGAAAAAATCTGCAAAATGACGGCTACAACCTGCTATAAAATATGATTTTTTACCAAACAGCTCATCAAGTTAGCATCATCAAATTAGATTGAAAACCTAATTTATGTAAACACATTTAATAATAATAATAAAAAAAAAAAAAAAAAAATAATTGAAATACAAAGCATTTATGATTTTAGAGAAATCTCAAGTTGGCTGGATTTTTGTGTCCACCTGATAAATAAAACACTTGATTGCTTTAAATTTTTTTAAAATTAAAATTAAATTAAAAATTAAATACCATATTTTCCATTATTTGAACTTATTTTAAGTTTTCTGAGACTCAATTATTATAAAAGCCTATTTTGTACATCAAAGCATAATACTAACATAATATAAATATAAAGTTATGCTTTTTTAAATATCATTTAACATTATTTTTTTATTCAAATTACATTATTTTATTTGACAATAATTGCCTGTTCTAAGCAATCAAAAAGTGATGATTTTTATAGAGACCATTTGTAGAAAGGTTTGATAATCAGAAAAAAAGATTAACATAAATGAGGAACAAAACATCCCCACAGATAAAACCTTGTAATACCCTAAAAATTACTAGAAATGAAGTATTATTCATCAATGGCAACTTTAATACTGCCATTAAAAAGGAACAATTCAACAACTTTAATAACTTTCCTATATACACCATATGATAACAGATGATGATTAGATACATTGATATAACTAATAAATTTATTTCTTCCATTTTTTTATACAAAAACCACCTGTTAGCACCTGGTGAGTTAATTAACATTTATAAGGGCCATTAGAAAACTCAGTACAGGGTGTTTGCCAAAATCTTGAGTCGGATTTCCCTGACTTTGCCCTGATAGTGGATCTCTTTTCCCTGATTGTTGAACTCTTTTTCCTGATTTTTATTTCAGTTATTATGAGCTTTTCCAGACTTAAAAAAGATTGGGGAATAACAGATGGAAAAATCATGTGTAGTTCAAAATAAAGCATTATTCTTACACTTATTAATGTACTGTTAAAATGTTGTCATTACTATTGTTGTTTAATCAAAGTAAAATGTAAAAATGCTATGTTTTTATTGAACTGTTTTGATAAATAGCATTCAGAACAAAATAAACTGAATTACACAAGTAATGTAAAAGTAAAATATAAAGCTAAAATCAACATATATTCAAAAGATGAAAAATAGACATACACCAAATGGTTCTGAAAAAATAATTCTGAAAGAATGATAAAAGTTTAAACAACTTAAAGTTTTTTATTTCTTGTCAAAAAGAATGAAATAGTATTACCACATCAATATTAAAAATCTTTTAAAAAATAAATAATAACTTATATAATATACTTTTAAATATCTATTAAATATCTATATAAATTTAGAATTTGCTGTATATAAATAACAAACTAATATTTAAAATTTCAAAGTTCTTTACTGTTCTTAAATAATAAATCTATTGTTTTATCTAACTTTTTAATCTCCTTTTAATCTAGATTCTGGGTTTAAGTCAAGAGCGTTCATACGCAATTCTCTGGCTTATTAATGATTTACTCACTAAATTAGGTTGTAACATGTTCTGCTTGACCATGAAAAAGAGTCAACACCATTTTGATTAATTTGGACAGTGCCGGATAATTATCTAAACCACCAACTTTAGAAAAAAAGAACTCATCCAGTCTATCATCTATTTTGTTGAAATTCATGAAAAGTTCCCTGTTTTTAGAGACAATTTTTTTTAAATATCTCTTGAATTCCCGCCTTTTGGGGTAAGCCAATGCAATTGAAACAAGTTATCAACCAAATCACTTATCCTTTCCATTGCCATTTTTTCATTGCACATTATAAATATTTTAAAGGTAATTTTTCCACAAACTTAGGGGTTGTCCATAAAGTAGGTATACCAAAAATTCTGAAATTTGACACCCCTACCCCCTGTTACCATGCGTACTTTTAAGTCTCCACCCCTTTAAAAAGTATGTTTTTCATACACCCCCCCCCCCATTGAAAAAAAAAATAAAAAAAAGAGGAAGAGATACCTTAGATACTTTAAAAGTATTTAGGGTACCTCCTCCACCTTTTTTATTTCAATAAATTTTTATATTTAAAAAAAAAAAAAAAAAAAAAAAAAAAAAAAAAAAAAAAAAAAAAAATAGACGGGCAGTGAAAAACATAAAGTATAAATTAAATACAAATATAAATTAAATCATGCAATATCAAAGAGTTCGCTTGGCCGAGTGGATAATGTTATGGGTAGTGACAGTGGAGTCCCGAGTTCGATTCCCAGTAAAGTCCTATATTACTTTTTTTGTTTAATGAGATGCATCAAAGAAAAATAAACTATACTTAAGGCAGACGTTTTTTTCAGGTACCCCTCTTTAGTAAGTCAGTAAAGAGTGAGTCACGCGAGAAGAGTAATATTGAAAACAAAGCTTAAAACCCAGTGCCGAGTGTAGGCTCTACCCACACCCAGTAATTAGAGGGGGTTGCAAATTTTATGCCCTATTGGGGGAGCAGCAAATTTTATGCCCTATTGCTATTTTATTTTAGCAAAACCTATTTTTTGCACATGCATGCACACATGCTACCCCTTATATACTGGCCCTGAGTATACTCAGGGCCAGTATATAAGGGGAGGCATGGGCGCCTGCAGGATTTTTTGATGTTCCAGATAAGACACTTTCACACATTGTGCAAACTCCAAACTTAGGTATGTTTATACCTATGCCAAATGAGGAGACCTTGTAAAAAATTGGGATGGCGGAGACTTGTCAACAAATAGCCCTGAAATGCTGGCCCCCCTGCTCAAATGTGAGGGCACTTATGTAGTAAAATTTTTAACTTAACTATCTAAAACTAAGTTCAAATTTATCGACAGAATTTAAATTTCATTGAAAAAATTGTAAATTACAAAAGTTATGTCGATGCAAAATGTACAGCCCCTCATTTATTTATTTTGGGGGAGGGGGTTGGAAAACTTTACTACATTAGTGCCTTCACGTTTGGGCAGGGGAGGGGATCCAAGCACTTGAGGGCTTTTTTGTTCTCAGACTACCACCATAACAATTTTTTTGCAAGACCTCTTCAAATGGCATAGGTATAAACATACCTAAGTTTGGAGTTTGCACAATGATTGAAAGTGTCTTATCTGGAACGTCAATAAATCTTGCAGGCGCCCGTGCCTCCCCTTATATACTGGCACAATGTGTGGAAGTGGTTTATCTGGAACATCAAAAAATCCAGAATTCAAAAAATTAGAAAATCGAAGTACGTACTTTTAAATTAAACCCTCCCCCCATATGTTTTTTGAAGACACCCCCTCGCCCTATGAGCGTACGTACTTTATGGATGACCCCTTACATGTCAACGACTGTAGAAAACATATATGCAACTGTAGTTGAAAGCATAAATATCTTATGAAGTGATTTCATCATTTGTTTTTTTATTCTTTATAACAGTGCTGGCCCCACATCCAATATCTGGCTTTTTTAAATAGTTTTTTTCTTTAGTAAAATCCAATTTGCAGAAGCTATTTGCAGTTTTACATTGATCTAAAATATCAGCTATAATGAACTTTGACACTATGTCTTTTAATAGTCGATAAAGATCATTATATAGAAATGGCATCATAGGTTTACCATATTGATATATGGTTAAAAAGGATTGCATAATATGAGCTATGTTTTGAATGATAGATGAATCGAATGAAGACCACAAGATTCAGTCGGAATCAGTTTGTTAATGCCATTTTCGGCACGATAGTTTTGTAACTCAGAGAAGAAGGCCCAATTAACATTTGGGCCATCCATAGATACTTGAATAAGTTTGGTTTTATTTAAAGATTTTAAACCCAACAAAAAAATATGCAGAAGATCTCTACTTTGACTATGTCCAATAAAGGTTGAATCTAGGTAACGAGTACAAACACGTTTCAAAACACTATCCCAATAATTAACAATAAGATCCATCTGCCCCATTTGCACAACTGAGTTAACTTATCTATATCTCTAATAAGAACTGATTGAAAATGAGGAGCTATTCCAAAATTTATGATATGAGCACTTGTCTTTTTGAAGAGAGAACTTTTCAGCTATAGCACTGGTCAGGAAATATTGATTTAAACAAAATCGAATGTCCATCAATGGATCGAAAAGAAAACGATGACAAAACATTTTTAAGTGTCCAACTGATCTCTGCATCAATAACCGAATCTGACACAACATGCGACTGAAGAGTGGAAACTTGAACTGTGTTTTCTCACAAAGTGGTTGTTACAACATGTATATTTTTTGACACATTGGTAAATGGTATATGTGTCATTTTTAAGTGTAGAGACAAACGTTCTCAATGCTTCTTTCCTGTTGAATGACTTTTTAACGCTCCCAGGCCTATATTAGACAGTTCAATTTTATTTCTTGGATGTGGACAAACTCTACATTTTGCTGAGGTAGCTGTATGAATTTATAACCACTGATCATCAAAATATGTCGAGTTCATTATTTAATTTACTTAAACTTGTTTTAGTCTAAAGAAAATAAAAACTGACTAATAACACCAAATAGTTAACTGACTAATAACATCAAATAGTTAACTAACTAGTACAAACTAACTAGTACAAATTAAATACTAGCTATTAATCCAGCTCAAAAAAAAAAACCCTGCTTTTCTTAGAGTTAAATCGAGTTTAAAAAAAAAAAGATAAATAATAAAAACCCTGATTTTTCTAAAATTTGACCTAATTTTCCTGATTTTACCCTGATTTTTTTGAAGACATCTAAATCCCCTGACTTTTCCCTGATTTGGCAGACACCCTGCAGTAGAATGCCAAAGAAATGCAAAAACCTTTTCATTAAATAAATCAGGTCAACAAAAAATAAATAAAAAAAATTTCTGGCACTGAGCAAACATTTTGTTTTTTGTATAACATTTCTCATTTTGATTTCAAATATGCAACTCATTTTTCACCAGCACGCCATGTTGTAAAGAAATTTAGTATTTGAGGTAAAATCCATAATATCAAAAAAAATAAAAACAAACTATTCAAAAGTATTTTTTATTCAAAAGTTTTTTCATAGAGATTTTAGAAAACATAATTTTTGTTTTTTTTTAGAGATTTTACCTCAAACGCTAAAGATTTGAACCCAAATATCTTTACAGTGTTTGAGATGATGGTGAAAAATGAGGTGCATATTTGAAATTAAAATGAGAAATGCTGTAAAAAAACCAATTGTTTAATATCATATCTAACATCACTTATATTTTTAATTTATTTAAAAATTTTCTGCTTTTATTTTTATTTTTAGTAGATATTTTAAACATTTTTTCCTTTAGCAAATGCCAGGTCTCTAAATTTTAAATATTTAAAAATCTATAAATTATTAAATTCAATTTTCATTGTGTTAAAAAATAGAGAAACTATGTTTATAAGAATCATTTGCTAACATTAAAAATCAGTAAGATTTTAATGAGCCTGGTAACATAATATAATAAAACAAATGATAATAATAATAATTTACTAACACGAAGGTTTAAGATTGAAAATGCCTTTAAAAATCGTTGTAAACATTGAAACTTTTCTATTTTATTTCCTTAATTTAATCAATTCCTTTCTGGCTTTACTAAATCAACATTCAAAAAGGCAAAAGACTAGAATATTATGAAATATAACTATAAACAAACCTTTTTGAACGAGTGTTATCATTATGGGAATGACGATCAGAGCTGAAACAAAAAAAACACAGTTATTATTTTCAATACTTAGTTGATAAAGTTATTTAGCCTTTTAAATATTATATATGTAACATATGTATATATTTGTATTTGGATATATATATATATATATATATATATATATATATGTATATATATATATATATATATATATATATATACATACATACACAGTAGAATCCAGTAAACTCGGACCCTGGATAAATTGGACAAATTTTTAATTCCCCCTAAATTCTCTCTACATACCAAAAGCTTCGTTTAGAGTCCGAGTTAACAGGATTCTACTGTATATATCAATTAAAAAAGAAAGTTTGATACCATCCAAGTAATTTAAAATATTTTTTATATATCAAAACAATTTTACAAAATTATTAAAAAAGTTTAAACTGAATACTTAGTACTAAAAGAGGTAAACAGATTCTTTCTATTGACCAGCTTTGCACCCCTTTCTTTATCTATTAGGCTGGCGTAGATGTATATATAAATACAAAGTTTCCAGTTTAGGATGTTAAATGCTGGAACTTCTTGAATCATTGTTGTTTGTGTCACTGTTTTTATGACTAGGGAACTCATTCTACCATTTCCTAATGAGAGTACAGCTTTAAAAATCAGTTTTATGGTTCTGAGGCCAGCTGGTAGTCAAGTTTCCTGAACTCTGTGGCAGCTCTCAGAGAGGCTGATTCCATCAACAGCAGAAATTTAAGATGTGAACAGAAAAAGCATGCGATCGCACTCAATACTTGACTATACATATACAGGCTTGGTCAGGAAGCGGGAACGATCGACTAAGCGAAATAAAGTTCTAGAGTATTCGGTTAAAATGTTTGAGAAATTGTATTTATGGTTTGTTATGTTATGAGACTTCTAGCATAAATTGTTTTAAGAATATTATCAATACTATGGCTCATTCTCAGAGCCACGTCTGCAAAGCCGTAAATCTTATAAACTATTATTATTTGTTTACAAAAATTGATGTTATAAATATATATTATTTAAATTGTCAAAATTTTGAAAGTTTATTATAAATTATAGATTTTATTAGTATATTTTTATTTTTTAATTAAAATGTATGTATTTTTTTTGCAAATGTAATTTTGTATATCTGTTTGTCATTGTAATGTAATCTTTCAAAGCAATTTTCACGATTTAATTTGTAAACAAAGACAAACAAAAATAATTGCGTTATCAATGAAGTTATAAACAATCATTAAAGTTAATAAAGCTAATTATGTAACAAACTTATAAGAAGTTTCTGGTTACTAAACACAAACAATGCATACAAAGAAACGCGCGGATAAACAAGCACCGCGCCTGAGGTCACGACAGAACACAAATATATATAGCAAGTTATTAGATATAAAGAAAAGTTTCTAGATATTGGTTTACTAACTCTAATTTTTTCGCTTAAGTTGCCATTCTTAAAAACTCGTTATACTTTTTTCTACTTTAAATATTAATTAAAAACCCCACTATCTAAACATCATCAGCAATATTGTGAAGCAGTTTCGCTTCCTCGTCATACAGTATTTTTAAATTTTTTTAGTTGATTTCTATCTAGTTAATTTAGTTTCTATAGTAATTCAATGATTTAATAATTTCATTTGTTTATCTTACTAAGAAGAATTGTTTTAAATATGTTAAACTTTTCAAACTACGCGAAACATAAAATAGGTATTAAAAAAATCAACTTTTTTGTTTATAAAATAATTTAGCTTAGACAAAACTAAAACTTGCGAACTGTTAAAGAACATTTGTTTCCTTTTTAAACAATTGTAAGATTTTATTTTATATAATAATTGTCTCTCATTGGTCCAATTAATATTTAAATATTCTAAAAATAATTAAAAATTATAGCACTAAATAAAAAAAAAAAAAAGTCATTTAATATAAAACTGAAAAAAATAAAACTCTAGCAGAAAACTTATTAAAATTAAGGTTGAATAACTTTGATCTTTAATGTTTTTATAGTATTAAGCAAGCTCATTTAAATAGAAAATTAATCATAAAATAAAATCATTCATAAAATTGTATTCCAACGTAAATCTGATGCAAAACTCAAAAAAAATTTTAGTTAAAATTTGTTGTTTTATAAACTTTTTTATTTTATAAAAATTGTTTTATAAAATCTAAATTAGGTTTTTTTAATATTAAGGTAGAAGAGCAAGAGCCCATGGCCGCCAGACCTACATTATTTTATAAAAGCTAAAAATTTCTCAGCGTGTGTTTGCAACAAAAGTAGGAACAATGGTCATCTATGTATTTTAGGTCATGGTGGCTTTGGCTGGTAACAGGTACCGAAGGTTTTTAAAATACTGGCTAAACTACGCCAAATTATAAAGCGTAATTTTCTTACAACTTTCTGTGTAGTAAGATTAGAAATTATGCCATCCATTCCCAGACACTTACCATGGTAGCAACCCCTTGCCAGACACCCTCAAACTTCGAAAAATTGTAATTAATAGTAGCAATGTTGTCATATTTATGTCTTAAAACTTTCTAGCAAAAACCTTAGTTATATAACTTAACAACATATAATCACAGCTTGATTGCCTCAAAAAAAGTACTTGTTTCTATTAGCATTTAATAACAGTTAGAATCGAAGATGAAAATTGTAATAAAAATGAAGTTAAAAAATGGTTTTAATAGCTATTTTGTTCAAAATCAAAATAAAAAACAAAATAGCTATTAAAACTATTTTTAAATTTCATTTTTATTACAATTTTTATCTTGAATTCTAACTGTTTTTAAATACTGATAGAAACCAGTAGTTTTAATCTTTAGTACCTGTTACTAGTCAAAGCCACCACGATCTAAAGTACATAGTCGACCATTGTTTCTACTTGTGTTAGAAGTATGCGTTAAGAAACTTTCAGTCTTTATAAAATAATGTAGGTCTGGTGGCCGCAGGCTTTAAGACTATAGTATAAAAACATTTAATTAGAAAGTTTACAAAACAACAACAAAAAAAAGCTGTTTTTTTTTTTGACAATATTAACTTTATGAATTTAAAAAATTTTTAAATCAATAAAGCAAATTGTTGTAAAACATTTACATTCATCATAAAAATAGAAGTACTTTTGAAATAAATAGAAATTTTAATTTCTATTTATTTCAAAAGTACTTCTATTTTTATGATGAATGTAAATAAATCATTTTAATAAAATGATTTATTTAATAGCGCAATAAAACTTTTTAAAAAAACATTTAGTTTAGCGTAAAAACATTTCATTAGAAAGTTTACAAAGCATTATGATAAATAACTGTTGTGTTTCTGACTAATAAATTTATGTATTCATCTAAAAGTTGTTGTTTATAAATTTTTTTTAACAACATTTATATAAAATTGTTTTAACAACATTTATATCATCATAAAAAATATACATTTTAACTATATATCTTTCGATAATTTCAATAAAATGTCTTTTAAAGTATACATTCATTAAATTTTTCACAATTTTTGCAATTTCTCACTTTATTTTATTAAAAAAAAAATTATTTTATAAAAAAAAAAAAATTAAAAAAAAAAAAAAAAAAAAAAAAGAGCCTATCCTGTCCACAACTAAGTTTTGAAAAACAAGGTTTGACAAATAATCAAGATGTAATTTGGAAAATGCATTAAATAAAATTTCATGTAACTATTTAAGTTTTAAAAACAATTTAAAATAATTTTATTATTTAGGATATGCTACTTTTATTTGCTTACTTAACGAATATTAAATGACATAAACTATATCCATTAAATTTTTTTGAATAACTTATTTAGATTACTTTCATTATACTGGTGCTAAAAGTACTTTTTTAATAATGATTAAAGTTTTTATTTTATCACTATTTTAATAAAAATATTTAATACATTATTTTAATAATAATATAATAAAATATAGTAACTATGTATTTAACTAACCACATTTTTTCTTTCAAATTTGTTTTTTTTCCTCTAAATCTTCTTATTTATTTTCTGGTAAATTTTTGCAGCAAATTACAATAAATGAATGAATGACTTTTAGATAATTCTAAATTAACTATTTGCACGTTTGCTCTTTTCTTTCTTTCTAGGATTCTTATATATCTATTTCTATATCTATATATATACAACCCTTAGAATTAGGGTCAGCAATGCCAACCTAAAAGTGTTTGAGATCGGCAAAAAATTGCTGACCTCATTTTTATGTTTTATGGTCAGACATTAGTATCAAATAATTTTTGCTGACCAAAAAAAAAAGATTGAAGTCGGCAAATTATTGCAGAACTAATTTTTTCCTAATTCTGAGGGTTGTATACATATGTGTATGTATATATACATTCAACATCTTCACTTTCAACAAGGCTGCAAGCAACCACTACTAGAGAGGGAAATTACTGGAAGATAAAAAATGAAGTTTATAGAGCAAGATAACAATTGACAGATGACTTAAAAGATTGCAAATTATATGAATCAGGAAAATAAGATGAAGAAAGTGAATTCCAAAAAACTGATGTTTAAGGAAAAAAACATAATGATTGAGAATTTTCAAAACATTTAGGAACAGCAACAGTAAAAGGATGAGAATTAATTGAATGAGGAGTAACAAGATAATTTCAGTAGATAGCACAAGAGATGTTAGCTCTTTAGAGCAGTGCCCAATATCATTTTGAACATGATTTAAGAATGTTTGTATGAATAGTATTAAATGGCAATGTCTTTTAGTTTCAGTATCCATTTTTTTCCATACGCACTGTTAACGTGAGAAACATTCTTAATAGCCAAATATGTAAATAAAACCACATTGATTATTAAAACAAAATACCACAATAGAAACCACTGAAATAAGGCTGTTTTAAGGCGGACATACAGCTTCTTGTTATTTTTTCAAATTATTAACTTAAGGGGTGTTACTAAAGTTTATAACTTTTGAAATATTACAGATAGTTTTGTTCTGTAAAAACGAATTTAGCTGATTTAGAAAAATTTATTGTTAATTTTTAGCAAAAATAATCAAAAAATATATTTCTGTTGTTTAATATGTAATATGTTCATTGTTAAAACATTTTTAAAGCAAACTTTACTTAAATCTAACGTGAACCAATACAAAGATTATTAAGTATAAATATTACATTTAAAAAATAAGGAGGGGGAGAATCAAAGTTAAAGATATATTTAACAAATATTGAAAGTTCACAAAGAGAATTTCAAAAAACTGATAAGGTTTATTCATACAAAAGTAAAACTATAGTCTGATTTGTAACGCATGTATTATGTGACATAACTTATGTCATTGCTTCAAAATAAAAACAAAAATTCACGCAAAAAACAAACTTAGTGCTAAACATGCCAACCTTGAAAATAATTTTGATAACATAGCTAAGGGTACAGAAAATAATTTTTTGATTTTTATACGCAAAAAAGATCGAAGTTTTAATAACTTAAGTTACTCATCAAAAATTTGTGTTTTATATTTATAAAAGATAAAACTAAATATACAAATGCTTTAAAAAGTAACTTTTGTAATAAAATCAACAGAATAACTTAGGAATATTATAGAACAGACATTAATTGATATATATGTGTTCCAAATTTTAAATATCAATCATGTAGATCCCAAACCATTAACAATATTTTATTAATATTTTTATTCTGATCAATTTAAACATTCATTTAACAAGGTAAGGTTTGAAACTTGTGATTCAATGCCCAATTTAAATTGTGTGAAACAGCTGTAACATATATATTTTTTGTAGCAATTAGTTTTAACATGGCAGCATCCTTTTATTTGAGACTTTTTGAAAACAAATTTAAATTCAGTAGATCTCTTATCATGCTCTTACCAGACTGCTGCTAAGATTTTCAGATATTAAATATTAACATCAAAATAACATTATTTTATAAGCAAAAGTTAAACTTTTATTAAAAGTAATATTTAAATAAATTAAATTTTAATTTTCCGTATCAAAAAAAAACAATCATTTTTTTAAATAACCCAGGAATGATATGAAATATATAGCATATGCTGCTAACAATCAATAGCCAATACAAAAGAAGTTTTGAAATGGTTATGATGGTCACATTTAAAAGAAGTGACAGGTTTTAAGCCAACCTTTTGAACAACTTTTGAAAAATCTCCTGACTTTTTTTTATAGGTTGATGATCTGTAACTAAGGTTACTTAACACAAGGTATATGTAAAATTGTAAAAATAAAATTGAATGATTACTAACAAAAACTATTCAAAAATTGTTCGTTTTGTGAAACAAAACAAAAAAAAGATGTTTAATGTTGTTATTATAAATCCTATATATATATATATATATATATATATATATATATATATATATATATATATATATATATATATATATATATATATATCTATATATATATATATATATATATATATATATATATATATATATATATATATATTTATATATATATATAAATATATATATATATATATATATATATATATATATATATATATATATATATAATATTATTATGAAGTTTAAGCTAATAAAAAACACATTATAATGTGTTTTACTAGAATCTTTATTTATATGAAATATTAAACAAATTTAAAAAAATTTAACTAACCTTAGAGATCCAAAGTTTGGAACAACTGGAGGAGGAGCATCCTCTTTAGCTAATATCACTTTATAATCTTCATCTTTTTCTGTATATCTATCTTTGAACGCTTCTTCAAACTCTGCAATTATATCTTCTGTGGCCATCTTCAATGAACAAGCGCGTTTTAATTCGAAAAGGTTACTAACTGAGCGGCAGGCCGACTTGAACACTCAAATGTTATCGGCAAGAAATTTTACGTTCTAACGCATGCTTGTGAGGGGGAAAATAAGCAAAAGTCGAACTTCTTATTTTTGTTGAACTTAATTTCTATGTTTTTGTTGGTTATTTTACTGTTATTCCTAGGTATTTTTAAGATATAATATTTGGTATATATAGTTTTTATTTTTGTATATTCATAGGTTGTCGAGCAGCTTAAAGAAAGCAAGGTTGAAAATGCTTTTATTCAATTCAATCCTTTGATGTTAACATCATTTTATTTTGAATATTTTATCTTACTTAAAGCAATTAAATTATTTGCATTAAAAAAAAATGGATCAATAATAAAATAAAAGTTTAAAGTATCATTAAATTTAAAGGGTCATGACATAAATTTTTCATTTTAATTAAATATAATTAAATTGAAAAAAAGTTTATAAATATTTCAAAAGTTAGCATAAAAATTATTATTTTTAGTATTCATAGTAAAATAAAAATATTTATAATATCTAAATAATTACTAAAAAATTGTGATGTGCAGGCTATATGAAGACATTTATATTTTAATATAAATATATTGTCTTAATATATATAATACAAATATCTATATCATGTACATGAAATTTTGTATTTTAAAAAGATTATTAAAAAAATGTGCTAGTAGTATGATTTGAACAACTTTTATCTTTACTAACATTTTTATATAAACAAAATACTAAATAAATAAAGTATACATTAGTAATGATGAAGAAATTTTGTTGAAAATAAATGATAAGTGTTTTTGAAAGCCGCTCTATTTAAATAACTTTGATCTTTACTAATCTTTTTATATTATTGAAATACTTTTATAGCAAGAAATCACTGCTAATGATTTTTTATATAAAGTATTAATAAATATGTATATTTATAACTATATTTATATATTTGTTATTATAATTTTTTTTTTTTTTAATTCCATAAATTTTTTAATAAATAACATTAGTTGGTCTATAAAAGTAAAATAAGCAATTGTCTCTTTAATGAATTTTTTAAAAGAATTCGAAGTTTATTATTCCAACTGGAAATGACTATATAAAACATTTAGATCACATTTAGAATTTGCAATTCACCAAGCAAAAAGTCACAATATCAAGCTAAAGACATACAGGTTTTAGAAAACATTCAGCAAAAAACTACAAACATAATTTTTTTGATATTAAAACTGGTATACAAAGATAGACTCAAAGCACTAGGATATACCTCTCTGACTGAAAAAGTATTCATAGTGATATGACACAACATTTTAAAATAGTAGGTTGGAGTGATGTCATTAACTGGCATCACCCACCAAAGTAGCTTCCCTCTTTTCTTTGTGATGGATCTGCTGGCAGTACTCGTGTTCATGCTATTTGAATAAGTGTCAACTGGCAAAGCATTGCAAACAGGCAAAATTTCTTCACCAATCGTTTAGTTGAACATTGGAACTTTTTGCCAGAGCAAATCATTGATGCTCCTGGATTGAGAAATTTTAGAAAGCAATCATATTGTGAGGAGAAACATTACAGGCTGAGTACTGTTATTCAAAATGTGTCAACATGAGCATTATGGTTTCCGTTGGTAGCCTTTGCTTGTCTTGGATTTTGAAAATAACACTTAATTTTTTATTAATATACATTGTATATAACCAACTTTAAGTTCTGCACAGGAATGCTGATACCATTCCTTCCACAAACCTTTTTTGTAAAATAACTTGTTCAGAAAATATCTAATAATAAATTCTTCGCATTTTAGTTTCTTGAGTTTTATTTTATTTGTTATATTGTTTTTTTTAGTTTTAGTTAAGTTCTTTATGTTTTCTCTTTTGTTAAGATTTCTATTATTTTTTTAAATAAAGATTTTTTTAAAGTAAAGTTTATATTATTAGGTAATTTGAAATTAGTTATTTGCAAGCTTCCATTTAAAAAATTTAAGTTTAAGAGTAATGGTTTCACACTTGGGCGTGATGTTTGGTCAGAGTAATAAAATGTCTTTTTTTAATTTAAATATGACATGAAATTGGATGCTTTTACTGGCATTAATTTGTTTTTAGATTAGGCCTGAGTATTTTTATTGTGGTTCTGCCGCTAAAAAGATTACTTTTAAAGTGCATAACATTTGAGAGCTCCTACCATTCCCACATTTAAGTTTTATGTAAGTTTTTTTCCTCCTAAATAAGCCTTCACCATGTCTTAAAAACAGTGAAGAAAGCAACTTATTGCCTAAGAGTTTTTTTTTGGAAAGGCAGTGTTTAGATACAATTAGATCTATAACTGCAAATAAAAATTTTTACTTTTGTTGTATTTTCATTGTTGCTTTTTATTAGTTTTTATTTTCTAAAAAAGTACTTTAACTAATATGGGTGTTACTATTACCAATAATATTGTTAAATATTAATTATTAACAATATTATTGGTAATAGTAACACCAAATATGTGTTAATAGTCAAACCCAATATGTGGTAAAATAAATAAAACCAATATACTGGTTGTATTTATTTTACCACAATTTCTAATTTGGCTAAGGTGAGGCTATTTAGTCATGTTGAAGGCAATTACATAGGTTCAAAAAAACATAAAACCCAAAATTTAGTTGTGAATAAGGGAAGAAGCTTGTAAACCTTAAAAATTAATTGAATTACTAAGTTCTTATCTGTAAAGCAGATTAACACCCAGAAGAGCATCCAGTTGTAAAAAATGATTCAACACTTCCACAATGTCATATTTATATAAGAAAATAGCATTATGGAAACTTGTGCAAATCTCACAAGTGTGGAAACATAGACAAGAAGTAAAAGATGTTATGTAAATATATATTTATAGCAGATGTTATGTAGAAAAGATGTTATGTAAATATGTATTTATATAGGTTCATATAAATTATTAAAATATGGTCCAAGGTGAAGAATTTTATTGTCGTTATTATGTGGGACATAAAGGAAAATTTGGACATGAATTTCTAGAGTTTGAATTTAGACCTGATGGTAAGTCATACTATAAGCTTTTAGTTTTTTGTTTTTCTTTTTATTTTAAATGTAATACTATACTATTTTTGATTAGAAATAATAAATTTATTAAAAATAAGAAACTAATACTTAGTGTTATTTTAACTGTTTTGTTTTTTATGTTATTTGGGTGAATAAAATAAAAGCAATTACTTTCACTTAGCATTTTTGGAGTAATTGCTCGGCTTTACGAGATTTCTCATGTTTTATTATTTATGTTTAGTACAGAAGTATAATTTTTTTTTTTTTTAATTTTATACGAGTTAGTACATTAGTAGAATTTTTTTTTTCAGTGTCGCAAAATCTTATTTTATTTTGCTTTTTTGCTTTTTTGACTTTTACTACTTTTTTTTTTTTTTCTATACTTGTTGTCAATGTAGTTACAGTAAAGTAAACTTGAACTCTATTGAAGTAATATTAAGTTGATACTTTTTTAGGTTTGTGTCGCTATGCAAATAATTCAAACTACAAAAATGATGTTATGATTCGAAAAGAGGTATGAATGCATATATTAATAAATTTAAATCAGAAAACAGTAAGTTTTAAATATTATCACTATTCTGACAATTTAAAATTAAGGGGTCGTCCATAAAGTAGGTATACCAAAAATTTAAAAATTTGACCTCTCTCATTCCCCCTGTTGCCTTGTATACTTTTAAGTCCTCCCCTCCCTCCCTTAAAAACATGTATCTTTTTGTAATACTCCCCCCCCCCCAACCACCACTTTTTATTTTATGCAGATCCCTTTAACCCTTAGATAATTTATACGACCCCAAAGCCCTTGGTTTTAAATATTTATTTCAATTAAGTTAAATTATATTGATTAATGCGTTCATTTCGCAGAGAGGTTAAAGCTTATGATTTTGCGGTGGAGATCCAAGATTGTGTTATAGTCAAGTCATGTTTTACTTTTTATTAAAAAAAAATTGTTCTAATGATGAATCAAATAAAAATAAACTTTACTTCAGGTGGACGTTTTTTTCAGGCACCCCTTTTTAGTAAGTTCGTAAAAAATGAGTCTTAAGCAAGATCAGTAGTATCGCAAACAAAGCATAAAACCCAGTGTAGGGGCTAGGCTACCCATACCAAGCCAAGACCACGAAAACGTTTTTCAAGTTAGGGAACGTGATCACGGTCATTTGCGCAAGTTTTATAATATGTGTTGCTGAAAAACTGTTTTAAATTTCATAACTACATAAGAAATTAAAGTAAACTTAAATAAAAAACAATAATAATAGTTTAAATAATTTGTTTATTGTTTTTTCTTAGTGGTTATTATTATCGGCAACAAAATTCAGTAAGTCAAAGAAAAAGAAAAAAAACAGTTTTAGGCATTAAATAGGATGACTTTCCCATATTTTATATGTTTTTTCTTTTAAAGAGGAAAGAGAAAATATGTATCATCATCTGTTTGTAAAATATATTTGTATATTTATAATGTAACAAGTTTATATCAAGAGTAAAATTATACGATCAAGATTTGCAAAACCTGGTAAAATATTAGGTCTTTAAAATTTTAGTTCATGCAAAGCTGTGCACTTTGTTTATAAGGAGCAAATTATTAAAAGTTTGCTAGCGAGAAAGTTACAAAAAACAAAACAAAAGCAATAAACTTAAGACTACAAAAATAATAACACTTTAGTCACTAACTGCATTATAAAGTAATAAAACTATAATAGTGTTATTACATTTATAAAGCACTTCTCTTATCATGCTCATACCAGACTGCTTATTACTTTTAAAGTTCATTCTTTGTTCAAACATCAATATTAATTCCAAACATTAATTAAAGTAGAAAAGCATCTAGAAAAAATAAAGCAGATATTCAAATATTATTAAAAATTTCAGGAACTTTCACATATCACTTGAACAACGTTATAAAAAAGTACTTTATAAAAAGTATAGCATTATGAAAAACGCTATGTAAAAACGTGCGTTAATTCTAAAATCAACCAATAAAAAATATTTATTGGATAATTTTAAAATTAACGTGCGTCTATTAGTAACGTTTTCATAATGCTAAACTTTTAATACGATACGTTTTTATAAAGTTGTTTGTCACATTTTTATAAGTTACTTTAGTTTTAATATTATTTGAACATCCACTTTATTCTTCTAGATATTTTTCTACTTCAATTAAAATTTGTGAATACTAATGTTGCTTGAACAAAGAATGAGTTTTAAAAGTTATAAGTGTGTTATAAAAGTAATAACACTATTATAGTGTTATTACTTTTGTAATGCAGTTAATGACTTGAGTGTTATTACTTTTGTAATTGTAAGTTTATTGTTTTATTTTTTATTTTTTCGCTAACAAATTTAAGTTGATTCTCCCCTAAAAAACAAGGAACACAGTTGTGTATAAACTAAAAATTTGATTACTAGATATTTTTCCAGAATTTGCGTTTTGCATTCGCTTAATTCAACTCTTGTTGTTACATTAAAACTATACAAATAAATTTTACAAACACATTGCAATTTGTATTTTTGCTATCCTCTTAAAAAAAATTAAGAAAAGGAAAATCATTATTTTTATTGTAGATTTTTTTTTTTTGCTTTGCTTTATCTAATTTTGTTGCTAAATGTAACTCAACTCACTAAAATAGCCAAAAATAAAAACAGTATGCAAATTATTTAAATTATTAATTTGTTTTTATTTTTTTCTATTTTAATCTCTTTTTATTTTGTTAGTTTAGTTTTTTTTATTTTAAAAATTTTTTCAACATTATTATAAAACTTGCAAACAGCCGTGTTCAAATTGTCTAAAATAATATACTCGCGTGTGGTCATACAAGACGAAAAACTGCACGTCTTTCCTGGGAAGGCTTGCATACCCCTAGTTGATAGGGAAGGGGAGGTCTAGCGAATTTAGGGCCCTTTTGCAAATTTAAGGATTTTTTTTATTTTAGCAAAACCTAGCAGTAAAATTTGGAAGATTTTGAGATCCTAATGACACAAGGGTTGAATTAAGCGATCGCGAAATGCAAAACTTCAACCCTTCAGAACTCTGTCCCATCTTCACGTTTTCCTGACTAATTCAACCTTCAACTTTTTAACTCTTCTGTTAACCGTTTCCTTAATCTATAACTCTTTTTTTTTCTTTCTAGCAACTCTTAACTTGATAGTGGTTGCTTGCAGCCTTGTCGGGAGTAAAAAAGTATTAAAAAATAGAGATAATAATGCTTAAATAGGTCACTTTTAAAGTTTTTGCCTGTAAACAAAGTCACAATAAAAATTTATCCAAAAAATTCTAAATAATGCATAAAGTTTAGTTTATTTATTATTTAATTATTATAATAATACACAATAAAAATGTTAAAATGCCATCAGTTGGAAAATCGGTAAAAGTGGCCGATACCGATTCTGATTGTACAAAAACTGGCCGATTAAGCTGACCCTGATTAGTTGGTATATTACTAGTATTTATCTTATGAAATGCTTTAATTCCAGCATTTTTTAATTACTTTTTTGATATAAGAACGCGAAGTCTTGAATTTTCTAGCTAGATCTCGCTGTGACTGATTCGGATTTCTTGCTATTGAACTGAGAATCGACTTTACCTTTTTGGATTTATTTATACTTCCAGATTTTCATTCGAAGCTTTGAGTAGTCTTTAACTTATTTATAATATCACTGACTGTAGATTTTGGAAAATTAGTACGTTTAGCAATTAAGTGATATGAAGTCGATAGATTTTTGCAAAAAAAATTCACAATTTTTTTACGCACCTTGATTTGTTTCTGAAACTTTTTGCAGTTCATTGATTTGTAAACAAAAGTTTACCAACACAACTAAAGTAACATTTAATTTAAAAAATAAAAGAAATTAAAAGCATTTGTGGTTTTAGAGAAATCTCAATTTAAAGTTGACCGGATTTTTCTGTGTCCACCCGATATTCATAGTGAAATATTAGTTTTTACATTATCTAAATTATAACATGGAATTGCGTTAATATCTATTGGTTATCACATATTTCCAAAAATCATAATATGTACAATTGTCATAAAAGTTAAGTTAAGAGACAAAAACTTCCACAATTATTTTTAGGGTTTCCAAAAAACCGCGGTTTTAATTTTGAAAAACCCCAATTTGAAAAAACTTTCGATTTTAATTTGAAAGAAACCCATGGTTAACTGATTTTTCTTGTTAAATGTTATAATGTAAGTTTATCTTGCATTGTTTATTAAAAAAGTTATTTAAACAAAGTGTTTTAACCCTTTCGTTACTGATACTCCGCATTGCGGGTAATAAAATATGTCGTTAAAATACCAGTACCCCGGATAGCTGTGGATGAAGAGTATTGTTTTCTGTCAACCCCGGGTTTTTTGAGCGACTTTAAAACTTAGGTTAATAGAAACTAGAATAATAATCCAATCATACAGCGAAAACCGCATGAAAAAAGCTTTGTTAGATTGGCTGTCATTCAATTTTGAAAAATGGCTAGTTCATCATGTTTATGTCAAAAAAAAATCTCAAATATTGACGAAATTTTAAACTTTGTACTTGAAGAAAGTGACAAAGATAGGAATCAAAGTATTGATCTTGATGATAGTGACTTTAGTAATGACAAGGATGATAATTTGATAGAATTTGAAGTTGAAAACAGTATGACTTCTACTACTATTCAAAGAAAAGTTCAAGTTACAAATAAAAACAATGTTGATAAATTGGAAGCTGCTGTTCCTTTTTCTAATTCTATTTTACCATCGATTAACTATACTGAAAGTGAAAGCTTTTGTGTTTCAAGCACAAGTGACAGCAAAATTGAGACTTTTGACACTCATAAAAAGAGCCCTCGTACAAGAGGTGGAGGTATCAGACGTGTATGTGTTCGAGGGGGTACTGGTATTCAATGTAATAATAAAGTAATTTCTGTAAAAAGTGACGCTGATCCTATACATGCTAACGATAGAGAACCTATTGCTGATGATGCTGCATTTAATGTCAATATACTTGATAATGTTCTCCAAGGTAGTATGCATAAACATTGTAGAGTGCATCATTGTGGTAGAGTGCCTAATCGTGGTAGAGTGCCTAGTTGTAATAAAGTACGTAATAGTAGTCAGAAACTTCCTCTGTCAACTTGGGAAAAAGTTAATAAAGATGTTCCTAGTATTCTAATGGGTTTCCCTGAACTTTTTCAAGAGGGTTTAAATGTTAGAATGGGGAAAGACCCAACTTGTCTTGATTTTTTTGAACCCTACTTTCCAGATGAACTTATAACTTTGTTAGTTGCAGAAACCAATCGGTATGCAAGTCAGTTTTTTGCTGCTAATCCAGATAACTCTTCTTTGTGGGAGGAAACTAATGTTGCAGAAATTAAAACCTTTATTGCTGTCATTCTTTTAATGGGAGTTATTTATAAACCCAAACTTAGTATGTATTGGTCAAAAGATGCATTGTATAATACTTCAATTTTTTCAGAAGTTATTAGTCGAAATTGTTTTAATATATTATTAAAGTTTTTTCATTTAATAACAATGAAGATGAAAATTA